AGAGGGAGAAGAGAAAAGTCAAGAATGTAGGACTGAGGGTTGCAACTAAATGTGGGGACAATGACAGGCAAAAGGTAAAGAGCTGGAAGACATGATGCTGAGAAGGAAGGTAGATGTTTTATGTGTCCAACAGACCAAGTGAAAGGGCAGCAAGGCTCGCAGCATTGGAGAAGGGTTTAAACATTTGTACCGTGGTGTGGATAGAAAGAGAAACGGAGTAGGGGTTGGTCCTGATGGAGGACTTGGCAAAGAATGTAGTAGAGGTGAAGAGAGTGTAGATGGGGTGATGTGCCTGAAGGTAGAAGTAGAAGATCTGATGCTAAACGTTGTCAGTGGTTATGCTCCACATGTTTTGATGTGATGTGGAGGAGAAAGATACATTTTGGAAGGTGATTGGAGCAGACCTGAACGGACATGTTGGTAAAGGAAACAATGGAACAATGAAACCTCTCCACAGCTCTGAAGCTGCTCTGTTAAAAGGTTTTCAATGACATCTTCAGATACACAGATACTGGTGATTAGTGATGTTCCCTCTAACACCGAAGCTTCAAAGCACGCTTCAAACTCGACAGTTATGGTGAAGCAGTGGGCCGGAGCTCGCTTCATGTGACGTCACCGATGACGTGTGAACCACTTCACTGCTTCATTCAGACCGAGTCAGCTGACTGCTTCGAGTTGACAGGCGGAGTTTCAAACATTTGCCGCGATTCAGTGTATTTAAGATGCTCAAGCCCCGGTTCACATCCCCGTTCTACACATATACGTTACGAACAGCTCTCGTTTTTTGATATTCAGACAGTGGTTCATTTGAGCCGGATCCCGTCAGAACAAGATCCTGGAACTCTATCATTTTGACCGCTCGGATCCGCCAACTCCGCCCCTAAAAGTCCAAAGTCATTGCGCAATTTTAATTTGATCATTTATTAAAAAGTACAACGAGTGGATGTTGTGGCCGCGCCACGCTCCTGCCAGCAGAGACACGGACTGCGTGTCCCGCGGGGAGCGTCTTCATCCTCCTCCAGCTGTGCGCCCTGAGACAGGTGTTTTACGCACAGCGTCTCCACACAGCTCTGCAGGACGCAAACACAACTGCTGTGTCGGAACTCCTGCATACATTACAGTGCACAACATTTCAGACATAAAAAATAAGCTTTCAGTAAAAAAAAAAAAAAAACGAGTGAAATGTTTGATGTGTATTACATCACGTATCAAAACGACGGCACCAATTAGTCAAAATAACAGTGATCAAAATGTTGAAAAGACAATTTATCTAAAATAAATGGATGGATGGCAGTGAGACTGGAGCAGAACACACAGGACTGAATTAAGCGGAGAAAAGTCGGCAGTGTGTGTGTGTGTGTGTGGGGGGGGGGGGGGTTAGGACACCTGACAGACTGTCAAGGACGTGCATTCGTACACAGCCTTGTTAAATGTTGCTCTCTAAAATAGTCATTTCAATTCAACCTTTATTTATGCAGGTTTAGCCTCATTGAGACTCGTCATTTACAAGAGAGACCTGTTTTTAACCAGTTTATTCAAATGTTTAACAACCTGTTAAAATACACCAAAATGCAGGAAATGGCATCTCTTTTATTCCAATTTTTCTGGGGGAGGACACACGACCCCCCCACCAGCGCCCCACACACCCCCACAGTTCACATTGTTTTTAAATTAGCCTACAGTTATATGGGTAATTTACTCAGAATCTTTAATGAGGTACTAAAAACACATGTACAACACACATATATACAAACATAAGTGCAATTAATTACACCAGAAGTGCATCGTATTCGCTGGACTTCAGTTGGTGCAACAATCGCTACTGCCAGTAGATGTCACCCAAGGGAATTGAATGAAGCTTCGGGTAGTGAACCACTTTATGACACAATGGTTCAAAATGATTCTATGCTTCAAAAAGCTTCATTTTGACATCACTACCGGTGATTCTGTGCTGCTTGTCCTATTGGACCTCACAGCCGCCTTTGACACCATCGACCATGAGATCCTCATTGCTAGGTTGGAGCAGTGGGTGGGCATCACAGGGTCAGCCCTCAATTGGTTCAGATCTTACCTCACTGACAGATCCTTGTGTCTCCATCAAGGATTTTAGTTCTGCAGCAACAAAGCTTAAATGGGGGGTTCCGCAGGGGTCCATACTGGGTCCCCTCCTATTCTCTTTATACCTGCTGCCGCTTGGTGCTATTTTCTGTAAACACAACATGCCCCTCCACTTCTACGCCGATGACTGTCAAATGTACTTCCCCCTAAGACACAATGGTACATGCTCTATTCAACCGCTGCTCGACTGCCTGGCTGACATCAGGGACTGGATGGCTTTAAACTTCTTAAGTTTCAATGAAAAGAAGTCTGAAGTCATGTTGTTCCCTCCCAACGACACGATCACAAACCACTGCATCGACCTCTCCGCTCTAACCCTGTCAGAAAAACAAAGAGTCACTAATCTGGGAGTGATAATGGACCCTTCCCTGAAACTTAATCATGTAAACATGATTGTTAAATCATGCTTCTTCCAACTGAGGCGGCTGTCTAAACTGAAGCCCATATTGCCCAAAAATAACCTGGAGACAGTAATACATGCATTCATTACATCTAGGCTTGATTACTGCAATTCACTCCTGTTTGGCATCAGTCAGACCTCCATTGCACGACTACAACTGGTCCAGAATGCAGCAGAATGATTTTTAACCAGTACAGGCAAAAGAGAGCACATTACACCAGTTTTGGCCTCACTGCACTGGTTATTGGTTCATCTTCGAATCCAGTTCAAAATACTCCCATATATGTCTACAAATCACTGAACAGTTTCACCCACCCCCCCCCCCCCCATCTCTCTGATCTGCTACAACCGTATGTCCCACCACGTTCCCTGAGGTCAGCGGACCAGTTGCTCCTCACAGTTCCAGGAACTCGTCTTAAGCGCAGAGGTGACAGGGCCTTCTCTGTAGCAGGACCAAGACTTTGGAACGAGTTACCTCCGTTTGTCAGACAAGCCCCCTCCCTCTCGGTTTTCAAGTCCTGTTTAAAAACTCACTACTGTTCAGTAGCTTCAACACCAGATGATCTGTGTTTTGAACCTGTACGCTCCACACTGGTTTGTCGTCATTATCTGCATTGTTTTTAAGTCTATATTTTTGATTTACTTCATTTTGTATTTTGCTTCGTGTGTTGTCTATTGTTCTGTCTGTACAGCCTTGTCGCTGTTTTAAGTGCTCTATAAATAAAATGGTATGGAGATGAGGAAGTGATGGGTAGGTTTGGTGTCAAGGAAAGAAACCAGGAAAGGCAGATTCTGCCAAGAGAATGGAAGTGGCTGTAGTCAATACAGATTTACAAAAGAGGGAGGAAGACAGAGTGATCTATAAGAGTGGAGGAAGAAGTACAAAAGGTCGACTACATTCTGTGTCGAAGAGGAAACCTGAGGGAGACTGTAAGGTGGTGGCAGGGGAGCGCGTGGCCAGACAGCATCAGATGGTTGGGTGTGGTTGTTGGAGAGGTGGAGGTATGGACTTGAAAGATAAATGAACGTCAGTTGTACTGACGTGTGTAACGAAGGTGCAGGACTTCAAGGACTTGGGAGTCGACTAAGAAAACCAGGAGCGAGGTAAAGAGAAGAAGAGTCAAGGCCGGATGGTGAAAATTTTCAGGAGTGATTTGCGACAAGAGTGGCAGCAAACGGAGTGAGATGGAGACGGGTGACTCGCTGTGGACCTCTGAAAAGGAAACAGCTGAAAGAAGTTGGTTAAAACAAATTTAAAAAAATAAACCTGTCTGTCGATTTATTCATCCGCACAATCACGTGACACAAAGAAAATTAACTTAATGCCACAAAAAAAAACAACCACACGTGTTAGTAAAATATCTTCTCTTCATAAAGTGATGATGGGGATGTTTAAAATGAATGTGGAGACGAGGCGGACAAGGACGGGGTCCAGTTCTGACCTTCAAACCAAACAAACCCTGTCCATTAGCACACATGATCTGTGTGACGGTGAAGACCAGGCAGAGCTGAAGGTGTCAACATGTCACAGCACGAGCCGCGGTGCCAACAGCTGCAGAAACTAACCAGAATCAAGACATTATCATAAGAAAGGAGAAACGATGGTCAAAATGATTTGATTCATTAGGGCAGCTTAAAAGGGCGGGGTTTCCAGCGCGAACACTCAAAGCGCAGTATCCCCGCTTTCGTCACTGACTGAAGAGTATAAATCGAGCGCACCCTACCTGACTCTGTTGCTGCTGGAGTCTCTTCTGAAGGATATCCTGAGCTAACCCGCCCGCCTCTCCGCCCGCCGGCTTGTTCGTATAGAGTGTGCGGATGATTTCCACCATTGCTGGGGTTGAGGCGCCAGTCGCCCCACTCTTGAGTCTCAGGAGGCCGTGGCTCGCTCGGACACACATGGAGAGCACGGACGACATCTTGGATAGTGGCTGCCGGCGCGAGTGTGACGCAAGACTTAAAGAAGAAAAACCTGATTGGCTGGAGCCGAGTTGACGGCGAGCTCAATGTCCAATCAGAGAAGCGTATAGTCACGTGGTTCATGAATAGGCGGGTTCATATATGGTTTGGACCAATCGGAAGTAAAATAAATTCTGACCTTCGATTGCGTAATAAACTCGCCATGATGGTTGGTGGTAAAACTCCAAACATGAGTTAAATTACCTTAAATTAAAATGTATTAATTAAAAAAAAAACTTTGTCCAGTTCGATCAGCGTCATCTAAATAAATGGTATTATATTATTGTAAGAATTAATCACGGAGTACTAGGAGAAGAACAGAATGAAGAGGTTTTATATGGTGGCGAAGAGGTTCGACAAGGTGGGCCTGTGATCGGAAGGCGACAGGTTCAACTTCTCATACTGACAACATCAAAATGTGGGTGGATTAGGTGAAACACCCACGCCTGCCCCCACCCTCATTTGCCCCACTCTGGGCCCTTGAGCAAGGCCCTCAACCCCCAACTATCTAAGTTAGTTTGCTGTGGCGACCCCTGAGGAAGGGAGCAGCCAAAAGAAAAAAAAACTATATATATATAAATGTGCGTGTGTGTGTTTGCAACATGAATTAAAACATATTGTGGAAGAGTGGGAACATTAAACTTATTGTTGTTAATATTTTCTTCCATTTAATTTTTTCTTTTGTTGACAAAAGTCACACTGCAGAGGTTCTCAAATTTTTTTGTCGGATCCCCTTTTGAGAAAGAAACTTGACCCCTGCCCCCACGTTAACCGCATGAAGAGTGTAGTAGTATATAGTGATGCTGTACCTAGTTTGTCTGTATTATTACAGGCAAACTAGGTGAACAAATTATCAAAATTAATGCAGACAGCACTGATTATATTTTATTTTTGCTCATGAAATGCAGCACATTTATCACATCTTGCTCTGGTTCCAAATATAAACACTTTAACTCGCACAAATCGCCAAAAACTTGTTCGTTTTGTCATAATCCCATGCAATATTGAAATGTCCAGAAATTTTGACACACCTTTTCTGCATCCTTGGACAAACAAAAATATGTCTTAGTGTTAATATTGTTTGACCCCAAGAACTAGCAGCAAACAGACATGCTGGGCGCTCCTGCGATGCCCAAACACTTTTTGGCACACACGTCCTACAGCAACATTGACCATATATCCTGATGCAAGCATTGACCATATAGTTACTAATGCACACTTGCATAAAATCAGGCTCCACACCCCCAAATAGTTTCATAGCTATGTCTTATACAACTTTTCTTTTTTTTTGACTGTTACGTACAAATTTAATTGTAAATTAGTTTACCTTGTGAGCGTGGCATGCTGGGTGTTGCCAGGTGTCTAAATGACTGCAGAGCAAGTTAGATTTGAAAATTAAATGTATTTAAACAAACCATTTAGACCACAAAGCATTGCACAATACTGACTTTGGGCATCTCCATTAGTAACTGCAATAAAGTCAATGAAACAAGGCAAGCATCAAGGTGGAGAACTCACCTCAGCTGTGTTGACTTGAAGCGTCAGTATTTCATTAAAACATGAATTAACTCAGCGATCCTCGATTAAAATCCTTTATTTTAGCACTGTACCTCTCCATTCTCCAAACTTACACTCTGGTAAAGAAAGAAAAAACAAAACAGTTTTTCAGGAAAACTTTCAAAGAATTGAAATACTGCCAGAAATACAGACCAAATGATTCAAGTGAGACTCACCTCACTAAAAGTAAGATTTGACCCTGTTCAATTGTTACAGGGGAATTCACAATCTGAAAGTATTAACGTTTTATTAAGACGCTACTCGTTTGTTTGAAAGAATATTACGTTTACATTATTTTTAATGTTTTAATTATTCTTTTTTATCGTTTTGTCGTTGCAACGCAGACTTCTGCCCAGCAGGTGGCAGTAAATGACCATATTCTTGTCTGCCACCCGCCAAAAAAAAAGAAAAATAATTTGTTGTTTCTTTTTTGTACTTTATTAACAAAACAACACAACAAAAATTATTAAGACTACCCTTTTTAAAAGAATATTACGTTTATTTTATTTTTTCCTAATTGTTTTTCCTCGTTGTTTTGCGCGTCCTTGTAGTTCACCTTAGTAAACAGCAGGTGGCGGTAAAACACCAACTTCTTGTCTGCCAACCGCCAAAATAATCGAAGAAGAAGAAGAATTTGTTGTGGACTGTGCAGTGTTCAAAGGGCAATGTTGTCTGTCCTCATCAAGTTAGCTATTCCCAAATGTAAGTATAACTGATTTATTTTATGTTTGTTGTGTTTTTATTATTTTAAAATAGTGTCCTTTATGTATGAAAGCGCATCTGTGTGTCTCCAAAGAGAAATATTTAGTTTGTAGACGAGCCATGGCTTAACTGAAGGTAAACAAAGCTTTGAAAGGTTTTTATGTGAAACTTTAGCTCATTTCTGAAGCTTTCCTCTGTCTTACAAAAACTATGTTACAAAGGGTTTAACAAACTCTTAAAATATATAAATTGCACCTATAAACGGTATATTTCCTGATCTGTAGCATGCAGCAAAACATTTAAAATCCTAAAGATCGATACATCTCAAACTGTGTCTTACAATAACATTTAGTGTTTGAGATTTTTTAAATTCTACGGTAATATCTTTGTGAAAAATGTGAGTTTACAGTGGTAGAGTTAATTCAATCAACCTTTATTTAAACAGGTTAATCCCATTGAGCCTCGAGAACTCATTTACAAGAGAGACCTGATTTCAACAAAGAACGATGACAACAATGGACAACAGCGACAACAATAAACAGTTATAAAAAATATATTTTTTAATAAATTAAAAAGTGGCAAAAAAGTAACAAAAACAGCTAGATTATAAGGTGAATGTAGAAAACTAAAAACAGGAACATGTCTGCATTGGACCCTGCCAGGTGTCCAACAGATTCTTAAAGACACTTGGAGAGGTCAAAGGTCGAGGGCTTCAAATCTTTTTGTAAGATATTCCAGGAAACAGGAGCGGAGTAGGAGAAGGTCCTTCTGCCTAGTTCAATCTGCACTGAGGGAACACTGCAGGTAATAATGTCCTGAGAGCGCACGCTGTAGCTGCACTCACGCAGAGACATGTAGGAGGAGATGTATGAAGGCAGCAGACCAAGAAGTGATTTAAAGATGAAACTGTACCAGTGAGAGAGTCTGCATGAAGTTAATGGTGTCCAGTTAACCAGTGAATACAGGGTGCAGTGGTGGGTACGATAATCACAGCCAGTTATGAATCTTAGTTCGTTCAACCTTTATTTAGACAGATAAGTCACATTGAGCCTCGAAGACTCATTTACAAGTGAGATCTGTTTAGACAGATCAAAAGTAGTGAAACTGGACACATGTAGGAATTTGGAGGCGAAAAAATTCCTATCAGACTTTTTTCTTCCTGCCTGAGAAGAAAAACTCTGATATTAAAAAACACACCTCGCACAAACTAGCACATAGTGACGTAGACATTCAGCAGAGGGGGGAGACGACGAGAGCAGTGAGCATGTCCATAGACGCTTTCGAGGTCACTGATAAGTTCTGATAAGGATGTAATAATCAGCCAGTGTCCTCCAGTGAGATCTGTAAATATTCTTGAGGTATGTCGGGGAATGGCCAAGGATAACGACTATGAGAATCCAAGAGTCCTGAAATGATGACACAATGTTTATTCAGCTGGTTTCATCTGGTTGTCAGTTGGAAATTCCTCAGGGAGCGGGTGGTGAGTGTCAGATCACATGTTCTCCAGGTGAATTCAGATAAGATGGCCTTCAAGGCCAACCAAGGGAGCTAAATTCAGATAAACACAAAGATTTGAGTATGTGTTGGTCCACTTGGTTCCAAAATGTCCAAATTACATGGCCACACCTATGGAGCGTGACTGAGTAAAATCCCCGAGATCTGATCCATTCTGCCCAAAGCATTTGAGGCTGGGTATCAAGGCACGAACCAAGCCATCATAAAGGCAAGCAGCGTGATCGGGTCCAAATTTGCTGCAGACGACTTCCTTGATTGTAGATAAAACCAGTAACCAGCCGAATCCAAAAAGCAGGAACCAGTTATCATAAAACCAATAAAATATGTCCTTAAATTCCACAAATGGCAGCAGAGATAGACACATCATCAAGTCTTCCAAGTCGATGAGATATCCAGCTGTGTGCGTGCCAACAGGGCAAATTGGCTCGTCTAAAGCCTGTCTTCTCTTCGAAGAAATGTTATCAATTGTGTTGAGGGACCAACTGATCAAAACAAGTCCATAATTATGGTTCGGAAGATATGAAGAGAGGCTCAGAAGCAGTTTCACAGACAGACAGAGAGCAGCAAAGCGGAGAGGGAGGGGAGAAGCGTCCGACCTCGGCAAGAGCAAGTGGTGAAGTGCACCATGATAGACAGCATCCAACATCTGCAGGGTGCTTGTAGGAGCGGTCATGTAAATAATGTCACCGTAATCAATGGAGGGAAGGAAAGTCACAGTTACAAGACGTTTCCTAGCATTCAGAGTTAAACAGGATCTGTTTCTGAAAAAGAAACCCAGTTTAACTTTCAGTTTCTTTACTAGGTTTTCCACGTGAAGCTTAAAAGAGATGCGAGTCGACCAAGATACCCAAATATTTATAGGAATCAACAAACTCAATGGGAACACCATTTGAAGATAAAATCCGAGGAAGAACTGCTGGGACCGACTTCCTGTTTGAAAAAAACATCCCTTTGGTTTTATCGGCATTTAAGACAAGTTTGAGACAACACATCAGTCTGGATGATGTCAAATGTGGATTGCAAAAGCTGGAAAGCCTTAGCAACAGTTTTAGCTAGACAATAAACAACTGTGTCATCAGCATAGAAATGTAAGGATGTGTCAAGAACGCTCTGACCTACATTACTTATGTAGATTGTAAAGAGGGTGGGTCCTAAGACTGAGCCTTGTGGTACACCATTGTTGACCGTTAAATAACTGGTAGAAGTACCATTATGTTGAACACATTGCCTCTGATCTGAGAGATAGTTGGAGAACCAACCAATGGTGTGATCTGAGAAACCGATTTCTGAGAGTTTATGACACAAGATGTTATGATCCACAGTGTCAAAAGCTTTAGACAGGTCTAAGAAAAGTGCAGCACAATAATCCTTAGCATCCAGTGCTTCAACAACGTCATTAAGAACCTTCAGTGAAGCAGTAGTTGTGCTGTGTTGTTTCCTGAAACCAGATTGATGTGGAGGTAAGATGTTAAATGAGTCCAGGTAATTTTTGATTTGAGAGTTTATCCGTTTTTCTAGAACCTTGGCAAAAATGCAGAGTTTAGAGATTGGTCGATAGTTGTTCAGTGAGGTGGGGTCACCTCCCTTCAGCAAAGGAAGAACAAAGGCTGTTTTCCATGGATCATCTCTAAAGACAGATTGTAAAACAGTGTTGGAGTTCTTTGAATCTGGAATAATTTACTTAATTTATTGTAAATAAAAGAAAGTAAAAAGAGCAGAAACTGTCACGCTCCTGTGAAGGAAACCTGTCTGTTGTTTCTTCCTCAGACCGGAAGTTGTGGCAGCCTGTTCCGGCTTTCATCAGGACCATGTCGTCTTCAGACGGACCCACCTCCTCCTCGTACACCACCCTGGCCATCAGTCGCCCTGCAGAGTCCGTCATGCACGTCCAGCTTCACCGGCCTGACAAACTCAACGCCATGAACAAAGATTTCTGGAGGCAGGAGCGTCTTTAACCTTTAAAAATGTGTTTTACGCTTTGCTCTACGTGTGTCTGGAGTTGAAGAGCTCTATGCGACTGCTGCTTGTTCGGTAGCTGCTCTCCTCACCTAAAAGACAACAATTTAATTGTTTTTATGGTACTTTTCTAAAAGAAAATACATTTGTTGAAACATTTATTCATATCTAAACAATAATTACTTAAAAGGCTAGTGCTAGATAAGTATCTCTAGCAATAAATAAAGTAATGTAACGTCCTTTTTTGGGGGCATATCGTAAAAACAGCCTTGTTATATTGTTGCTCCCGTCAGGCGGGACGTTTAAAGTCCCTGAAGTCATTGATTCTGTTTGCAACATCCACATCGAACACTTTAAAATAAGAACTGTACCTTCACACTCTCAGCCGTTGCTTTTAACAGTCTCCCTTTACGTGTTTTATGGGCGTCTTCAAGTGGTTTTGTATTCTACGTGCACAAATGCTGCTGCTGGAGCTGTCGGAACATTGTCACCGTTTGGGACAGACAAATCAAATCCACTGTAACTGAAGCTTCGTGTGATTTAAGATGGAAACAGATGGAACGTTTCTAAATGTGTTTCAGGGAGATGGTGGAGTGCTTCAGTGAGATCACGGAGGACAAGGACTGCAGGGTGGTGGTGGTTTCTGGAGCGGGAAAGATGTTCACAGCTGGTGGGTGTCGGGCAGTTCGGGTGCAGCCGTCTGTTTCTGTGGCGGTGCTTTGATCCTCTGCTCGCTTGGTTTCCAGGGCTCGACCTGTTGGACATGGCGAGCGATGTGCTCCAGCCAGAAGGTGATGACGTGTCCCGAATCTCCTGGAACATCAGAAGAACCATCACCAAGTATCAGGAAACGTTCTCCGTCATAGAGAAGGTCGGAGCGCTGAGTAATCGCATACAACGGTGAAAAGTTGACGACAAAAGAAGTTCAAGTTGTTCTGTTCTTTCTTCAGTGTCCGAAGCCTGTGGTGGTGGCTGTTCACGGCGCCTGCATCGGAGGAGGTAACGCTTTTATAGAAACACCTTCAGTCGCTTCTTAGGAAGTAAAAGATAAAAACATCCCTCATTTTCTCCTCTGTCAGAAATGAATCATCATACAGTCCCTCATTTATCGTGGGGGTTGCGTTCCAGACACCCCCACAATAGGTGAAAATGTGCGAAGTAGGGACATTATATTTATTTTAGTATTTATATATATTAAGGCTTTATAAACCCTTCCCACACTCTTGCAATGTTCTTAACAATGTTCACGCTTGATTATATTAAATTAACAATCCATGCCACTCGTGCTTCTCACTCGGGTATAAGACAGACCCCCCCCCCTGCCGCCCCCTTCTTTCTTTTTCCAAGGCTGTCTGTTTCATGCCCGCCTGTTGTGAGTCTCTGGGACACAATGGGGAAAGACAGACCCCACCCCCTCCTTTCTCTGCTGTAACAGACAGCCTCGGAGAGAGAAAGGAGGAGGTGGGAGGGGTCTGTCTTCTACCTGAGTGAACCGCGCTCAGCCACTGTCTCGCTCTCTTTTTAAACTGATTCACTCTTATTTTTCCATCTAAGTGTTTTCTCTGATATTCTACATTTGTTCATCTGATCTGTTCATACTTGCTCCATGAGCAGAAGTGATGGGGAAAGACAGACCCCCCACCGCCTCCTTTCTCTTTCTGAGGCTGTCTGTCACAGCAGAGGCGATGAAGAAAGACAGACCACACCCCTCCTTTCTTTTTCTCTGCTGTGACAGACAGACTCATAAAGAGAAAGGAGGGGCGGGTGGAGTCTGTCTTTCTCCATCACCTCTGCTGTGACAAACAGCCTTAGAAAGAGAAAGGAGGGGACAGTGGGGTTCTGTCTTATACCTGAGTGAGCCACACAAGCGGCTCACTCCATCAATCAGCCACTCGCGTGTCGTTATTTTTGGATTATAACTCTTGCTCTTTGACAGGTGTCGACCTGATCACAGCCTGTGACATTCGCCTCTGCACCACTTTGCAACTTGATCGTTGCTTCAGTGTGACGGCTCAACTTTAACGACGCACTTTGCAGTAAACGGGGAATTTGTCGTTATTTTTGGATTATAACTCTTGCTCTTTGACAGGTGTCGACCTGATCACAGCCTGTGACATTCGCCTCTGCACCCAGGACGCCTGGTTTCAGGTCAAGGTGCGTTTCACTCATTTTACCTTTAGATTCTTTTAGAGAACTTCAACCCAAACAACAGGAACAGCCTCCACCTGGAAAGGGTCTTGCTCTTCCTTTAATGCGCCCTGAACCACAACGTGTCCCACCACAAATGTTTTATCAAAACGACCGGCTCGGCCCTGTGATGTGTGCTGTTACTTTTATTGGTGTTTTTAGTTACCATGGCGACGTAATTTGCAAACAAAGACACCGTTTTTCTCATTTCTGACAGAACTCTTTGCTTCTAACCACCACAGTGAGGTCACATGACCTAGAGTGGAGAGGTCTCTGAACAAAACACTGATTAACTTTTGGAGCCATTTTGATTCAAGATGGCCTCCACAGCTACCTCTGAAAACTACAAACTGACTACAACTCAATCATTCTTTGAGATATTGAGCTGAAATTTGGTATGGTTGTAGCTGAGAGCGAGTTGTTATACTTTCCTAATGCAAATAAAAAATTCAAGATGGCCACCAAAGCTCCTTTTTCAATGGCTTTAACGCAGATATTTTTACACATATAAAGCTGAAGTTTGATGTGGTTATAGCTGAGAATGTTCCCCATCACATAATAACAAGTTACAACAACAAATAATTTCCCTTTGGGATTAATAAAGTATTTTTGAATTGAATTGAATTAATCCTAATCAAAAATCAAAGATGGCCGCCATAGCTTAAAAGAAAAAAATGACTATAAATCTTTTTTTTTGGCCATACTGAGCTGAAATTCGGTGTGATAGTAGCTGAGAGTGAACCCAAACACACAGTGTTGTTTAAATCGATTTTTTAAATGGCCGCCCCGTGGCAGTCCCCGTCAAAGTTCCCCCAGGAACTGTTCTAGTTTAGTTTCTGCTGTTGCTGTGCAGTTTTTAACCTGTGATGCAATAAGTTGGGGCACTAAGTTCATCGTTGGATAACAAATAAACATGAATAATTGTATTTAAGGTTTTCTAGTGCAGGTCTGTGTGGCAGCAGACGCAGTTTGCTGCTTCAGAGGATCCGTTGTGAAACAAATTGTTTAAAGAAACAGTTTCAAAGTGACTCGTGGCGCTTCCACAGCCTCAGGTGTTTGTGTCCACAGGAAGTCGATATTGGACTCGCAGCGGACGTCGGAACGCTGCAGAGACTTCCCAAAGTGATCGGCAGCCGCAGGTAAACCCCACGTTTTCTCACCTGTTCACATTTTTACTGTTGACGGTGTAGAATGTTTAAGAAGAGTCACCAACATGGAAGCACTTCACTGGAGCTGGTGACTTTGTGTGTGTGTGCATAAATACACACACGTTGTTGTTTTATTTCAGTTTTGAAATAAAGATCTGTTCATTTTAAACCAATTTCAAATATTAGTCACAATGCTGAACATTTTACAGCTTGTCAGTTTTTAAAGAGTTTGTTTGTTAGTTCTGGTGGAAAGCACTTTGTTGTGTGAGAGAAGCTTTTTAAATAAAGTTTGATGACGCCGTCTCTGCAGTCTGGTCAACGAGCTCGCGCTGACAGCCAGGAAAATGTACGCTGACGAAGCCAAGAGCAGCGGACTGGTCAGGTAAAAACACGCTTCTGTTGAAACCTGAAAATAATCTGGGGGATTAAAAGATGCCTGAAATTAAGTTCTAGTCAGCTGACCCAAGCAGAAGGATCAGAGGTATAAATCACTCGTAATGTCTTGAGAATAAATAAGATTATCAGATAATCTGTATTCTTGAAGGAAGAGGAATTAAACTCTTTTAACCAGCAGATGTCGCACCGTCTGTTAGCTCTTTCAGCGTGTTGGGGATGACTCTCAGCTACCGCAAATAATTTTAGCTCCGTCTGTAAAGACGACTGAGATGGAGCCACTTTCGTAAAGTTGATTGCCCGTGGCAGCCATCTTGGATCTGGTTGACACAAACAGCACTTGTAGGCTGATTAGAATCAGTCCAGTCCAACATCTTTCAGTCGGGTCATCTGGACAGTTTCTTTTTTTTTTTGTTTGTGCTGAAACGTTTCACCTTCCATCCAGAAGGCTTCATCAGTCTTAGAAACACAAAACTGATTCTTCCCCCAACAGCTTACTTCAAAGTGGAACAAACCAGTTATGTTGGTGCTAAGATGGTCTCTTTGGCACACCCCCTCCTCCGGTGCCGGCCCTCTTCCTCGTCAACAGTCGTGTCAAACTGGTTCAAACCAAGAAAGTCCATGCTCAATAATCCAGGTATACAATCCAACATTTTTTGTTGGACTGATGACCTGACTGAAAAATGTTGGATTGTATACCTGGATTATTGAGCATGGGCTTTGTTAATCAGTCCAATAGTTCATTAGATATTTTGCTAACACAAAGAAGATACAGGTGAATACATTATCGCCTGCTGTTTGGTGGGCAACAGATGAGACGACCAAAAGATGCATGTCACGTATTTTAGAGGTCAGTTCTCGGCTTATCGACAACATGTATCAGCCTAAAGTCAGTTCTGGTTATTTTATTAAAATTTATTCAAATATTGCATCTTAGTCATACTTTTTAAATATAGGTCGCTTTTAAATCAGCATTTGTTCTCACTAACATTTAATGAGTCGATTCAGTAATTTGTTTATTTTCTTCAGGTGTTTTTTTTTATCGCTGCCTTTGTCTGATTTGACTGTTGAGTTCTTTGGTTCCAACTTGTTCTTAAATGTTTTATATAAACAGACTTAGTTTTTGTATTTCTGAGCCGTTTTGACTGAATCGAAGTCAGAGCTCGACTCAGCGAAACGTTTTCCTGCGCCTGCAGCCGGGTGTTTGCAGATAAGGAGGCCCTGATGGCCGGAGCCCTGGAGATGGCGGCGGAGATCGCAGCTCGCAGCCCCGTGGCCGTGCAGGGAACCAAACTGAACCTGATCTATTCCAGAGATCACAGCGTGGACGAGGGACTGCACTACATGGTGAGGACATTTCACGTCTTCTGTCCTCGTCCGGGACTAAACTTTGATTCATCCATACTTCCACGCAGCCTCAAGACGACAACCTTCAGACGCTTCCTCGTCCGTAAACAAACGTTTTGCGACTAATTGATCGCATCAATCCAGATTGATCAACGTCTACACGAGTTTAGAAGTTGTTTTAGAGAAGACGTGCACATATTTCCACGAGTTAGCAAGCGGCACACAAAGGTTATTAACCTTTATTTAATCAGGCAAATCCCATTGAGATCACAGATCTCTTGCAAGGGAGGCCTGAAGGCAGCTCAACATGTTTTTGGTCTGTGGGAGGAAACCTGAGTACCCGAAGAAAACCCACACAAGCATAAGAACATGCAAATGCCACGCAGAAAGACCCCAGATCCAACCGGGGATTGAACCCAGGACCTTCTTGCTGTGAGGCAACAGTGCTAACCACTGAGCCGTGGTGCTGCCATATTGTCTGATGTCCCGTCCCTCAGGAGTTTGAAGTGAATGTTTGTAGTTTTTGAGACAAGTGTTTTTCTGGACTGGAACTGAACAGAGAATTCAGCTGAACCTAAATGTTTTGTTCAAGTGGGCAGGAGTTGAGCAGAGGGGGGCATTTTATCCACCAGCAGGCTCAAAGGCAGAGCCAGGGGGTGGATAAAGGTGGCCTTGGCCACCATACATTGTTTGGCCACCTCAGTCATTTAACTATAATTTTATGCAACATAAAAACTAAAAAGCAGTTTCCTCAATGGTCTGTTCATCTCACTTACAGGTCCTTCTCAAAAAAATAGCATATTGTGATAAAGGTCATTATTTTCCATAATGTAATGATAAAAATGAAACTTTCATATATTTCAGATTCATTGCACACCACCTGAAATATTTCAGGTCTTTAATGGTTTTAATACTGATGATTATGGCATACAGCTCATGAAAACCCAAAATGCCTGTCTCAAAAAATTAGCATATGATGAAAAGGTTCTCTAAACAAGCTATTAACCTAACCATCTGAATCAACGACGTAACTCTAAACACCTGCAAAAGATTCCTGAGGCTTTTAAAAACTCCCAGCCTTGTTCAATACTCAAAACCACAATCATGGGTAAGACTGCCGACCTGACTGCTGTCCAGAAGGCCATCATTGACACCCTCAAGCAAGAGGGTAAGACACAGAAAGAAACTGCTGAACGAATAGGCTGTTCCCAGAGTGCTGTATCAAGGCACCTCAGTGGGAAGTCTGTGGGAAGGGAAAAGTGTGGCAGAAAACGCTGCACAACGAGAAGAGGTGACCAGACCCTGAGGAGGATTGTGGAGAAGGGCCGATTCCAGACCTTGGGGGACCTGCAGAAGCAGTGGACTGAGTCTGGAGTAGAAACATCCAGAGCCACCGTGCACAGGTGCCTCATTCCCCAGGTCAAGCCACTTTTGAACAAGAGACTGCGTCAGAAGCATCTCACCTGGGACTGCTGCTGAGTGGTCCAAAGTTATGTTCTCTGATTACAGTAAATTTTGCATTTCCTTTGGAAATCAAGGTCCCAGAGTCTGGAGGAAGAGAGGAGACACAGAATTCACATTGCTTGAGGTCCAGTGTCAAGTTTCCACAGTCACTGGGGTGCCATGTCATCTGCTGGTGTTGGTCCACTGTGTTTTATCAAGCGCAGGGTCAATGCAGCTAGCTATCAGGAGATTTTGGAGCACTCCATGCTTCCATCTGCTGAAAAGCTTTATGGAGATGAAGATTTCATTTTTCAGCACGACCTGGCACCTGCTCACAGTGCCAAAACCACTGGTAAATGGTTTACTGACCATGGTATTACTGTGCTCAATTGGCCTGCCAACTCTCCTGACCTGAACCCCATAGAGAACCTGTGGGATATTGTGAAGAGAAAGTTGAGAGACGCAAGACCCAACACTCTGAATGAGCTTAAGGCCGCTATCGAAGCATCCTGGGCCTCCATAACACCTCAGCAGTGCCACAGGCTGATTGCCTCCATGCCACGC